CGCTTACGCCGCTGAGACCCTGAAGACTCCGACTCTATTATTGTCTTTGTTCACGGAAAGACAAACGAGGTTGGGATCCTGCGTTCCTCTGGACCCATCTCGGTGGCTTCATGTGGGTCCCACAGCACGGTTCGGTCCAGCTTCATTAGTTTATCACTAGTTATCTTTTCCAAGTTCTGGCCAATAAAAACTCTCAAAACTGAGGTATTAGGGACAAAGCAGCAAGGACCAGGTCCCGGGGCAGTTTTGCTATGACTAGTGGTACAACTGAAGAAGCACTGTGACCACGTGACCCTAGAAGCAGGAATCTTGAGCTAGGAAAACGGAGGAAGAAGGAACCATTTCTTCACATTGAAATTGTATCATTTATCGATGCAAAAGCGGGATGACCTCAGGTTGGGTCAGCTCGAATAACGGACAGTTCATTTAGTGTAAGAACAGGGTGCTTTGGGGTTACTTACATGAAGTGCTAGTAGGTTCTTCGAAGCTGGCTGCAGTGGTATGTTACACACGGCAAGCTGGGTCTGTAGGATCTTACAACCATTCCCACATTCCTTTGCTGGTCACCCTCGCTGGTCTCATTTCCTCTCCGGTTTCCAGCCCTTTTAATTAAGCATGTCTCTGGATTTTTCTCATCAGTGTTAGAGTCCAAACACGATGACTGTGTTCCTGAACTCCTTCCAAGTCTATCTAGTCATTCCCTCTATAATTCATTCAAGATTTTTTTTTTATATAAGATTTGCTCTAACACACTGTGCTGTATACCAGAAACTCAAAGCTAAATAGGATACCTTGATCCAGAAAAGGCTAAAGAAAAATATAAATACAAAATAAAACTACAGAACCGCAACAAGCCCACAAATATGCTGCCATGAGGTGGATATCAGCCTCTTGAAATCAGGTTCATTTTTGTTAAGACTCAAAGTCATACTATGCCGTGAATATAAAGTTGCAAGATTCTCCTCTAAGATTTTTGAAGAAGAAACCTGGGAAAGATGCTAAAGCACTCCAACTTTACACACACACAGAGAGAGAGAGAGAGAAAGAGAGAGAGAGAGAAAGAGAGAGAGAGAGAGAACTCAGTTGATTCCAGTGACCTCTATGGTTATGTGGCTATTTTAACGCTTATGTTTAGATTTAGCTAAATTTATTCACAGTGTTTTAAAGATATGACATGCTGAATAACCGGTGCTTTAAGTTGTAAGATTAATTCAACGTGCATTAGATTTGTTATCTATCCTGACACCTAGCATTGGCTCCCAGTGTCTCAAAAGCATCCGTCAACAGTCTGTGCCAATATTCCAAAGAGCTTGGATCTTGCTTGGTCAGACAAAGATTAAAAGTCAATATAAACTCAACACATTGTGATAAGTAGCCCAGGGGTAGACGCAGCATTGAGCTTTAAACCCGACACATGGAAAGCATCTCTTCTATCAGTAATGACATGAACGTGCATCTGTCTTCGTTTCCCTTGAACTTCAATTTGCAGAATGCTGCAGCCTCTGGCGTCAGGCTGCCCAGATGGAAAAATCATGTCCTTCTGCTTACAATCAACGTGGCTTCCTCAAGACTCAATTTTCTTACCTATTCAATGGAGATAGTAAGAGTGGCTACCTTTCTTTGAAAGCATAAAGGGCTTACTTCATTCATTATATTTGCTTACCAACATGTAGTTATCGAAAGCCGATATGCCTAAAATACTTAGCAAAACAAAGATAATTCGATCAGTATAAAAGAAGAACATAATAGAAATTCAGAGGAAGATCTTAGAACCCTGCCTGTTGTGGTCATTTCTGAAACTCACAGATTTAAATATACAATATACAGTAAGTAATGCTTATAGAATCAGAGTTCACTAATGGAAACATTGACAGAGCCAACCCTCTTAATCCCCTCAGTTTTCTTTCTCCTCATACTCCACAGTCCCCGGGCCACTTTAGCATGTCTCTGTGGCAGCGCCCACAACACCAGTGATAAGTGACTCGGAGAGCAGCTCATTTGGTAAAGTTCTTTCCTTCCATGAAATCAAGCCCTTGATACCCATTACCAACACCATGTAAAAAAGGATATGGTGGTACAAGCCTCTAATCTCACACTTGAAAAGAAGAGTCAGAAGAATTAGAAATTTAGGGACATGGCTATACGGTGATATCCAGAGCAGCCTGGGCTTCCCAAGACCCTGTCTCTAAGAAGGAGAGAGAGAGAGAGAGAGAGAGAAAGGAAGAGAGGGAGCGAGAGAGGGAAGGAGAAGGAAGAAGAAAGAAGGAAGATTGGGAAGATTGTTCATAGATTTCCAATTTTGGTCAATCCTGAGATTAAGAATTTTAAAAGCATTTGCTGGTGTCTTAATATTTAATAGTTTGGAGAGTAGGAAGGACAGAGGGAAAGACCAGCATAGCGCATGATTTCATGAGGCTTCTACCCCAGAGATTTTGTGAACGCTACCTTTCCCTTTCACAGAGCGAAATCTCACCTCCCTTTGAGGTGAGAATGGAAGGAGGTGTGTGTGTACTTTTCCTTAGTCATTCCCTAAAATGCTTTATCTGAGGTGGGACGGACAGAAACAAACCTTCAAGCAGGCTCGTGACTGAACGATGGCAGAAGTCGATCAAAGTCAACTGAGTCACATAGGGTGCTGGTGGGGACTGACTTATGGGAAGGGGATCCCGTAAAATGCCCAGAACAATTGTCAGTGAGGGGCCGGGGCGCTCAGTGGAAACACTGATTCCAGTCAATTCACCGCAAGCGAACTGCCTCTGCTCTCTGCCGTTCTCATGTGGCCATTCTGTATGATATCACACGGCATTCGGCATGGCTTTCAGAAATTTTAATGACTTGAGTCCAATCAGAGACACATGCCTTCCGGAATTCTTCTGGATTGCGTTTGTAAGTTTGCAAAGCTTGGGATACCTCAGTTGCTATTGTGATAGACAGACAGAGGAATGTACCTTCTGTCTGATCTACCTGTGTAAGACTCTGTGATGTCTTGAATAGGTAAAACCTAAGCCGCCTTCAAAGTGGAAGAACTGCCTTTATATAGTGAAGCATTCGGGCTCATTGCTCCATTATTTTTTTTTTTTTTTAAAAAATAGTGGTTAAGGTAAGCCTGATCTACAGGGTTGTTTCTCCAGGGCCATCCTGAGAGGCACACACCCTCTGTGAACACAGGCAGCACCTGACCGCAGATGTTCACAACCCAAGAGAGAGCAACGATGCACTCCTTTCCAGCACAGCTGAGGAAGGAATGCCACCCCAGGGGATTAAAGATCTAGATAGTTACCGCCTGCTCTGGCTTTGGTTTCTGAGAGAGATGACTATAAAACTGATCAACTGCTACTACAGACATTCTTCCACGCGGGGAAACATATTTTTGAGAATACTAGTACGTTTTCTGCCCATATTTTCAACAGTAGTCTAGGTAATTCTGATACAGATGATCTAAAGACTGCGTTCGGAAACTGGCGGCTGTGTAGACGGACCCTCGGTGGACGGCATTTATCAGCCAGTGTTCTCAGGCCAGGAATCAGGCGGATGCCAGGGTTACTACTTAAGAACACCAAATTCTCGGCTTCTAGGCACTTCATCAGCTTCCACGGGGCATCTACTTGTCAATATGTGCTTTTAAAAGTTCTGTGGGCAATCCCAAGTTGCAGGATGTAGTATTAAAGGAGAAGGGCTAGGCCTCAGCACTTCACATCTGCGTGTGCATTCCCCAAAGCTTTCCAGTTTTATGTCCTGTCTAATATCTTAGCTGCTCCACAGCTTGGATGAAGGAGTGATTGTTAATAGCCAGCCTGCAATAAGTAGTTACTATTACCGTGCATGTGTGTGTGTGCATGTAGTATATTCAGAAGTAAAATTGTGATTCACAGCTTCAAGAAGAACATACAGAATAGAGACCACAAATAGAAATCATCTTTAAGATTTTTATTCTATAAAAATAGTAGGTGTACACATGCCAAAAATGAAATATGCTAATTTTTAGGTTTATTATTTTTTAATGTGTATGCGTGCTCTTTTGAATGGATGCATGTACAACTACAGGTATACAGTGCCTACCGAGACCGGAAGAGGGGGTCGGGGCCCCTGATGCTGGAATTACTCATGTTTAGGAGTCACCACGTGGGCACTAGGTCCCCTGCAAGAGTAGCAAGAGCTCTTAACCAAACTGTAATATCCTCCAAAAAACAAAATAGATCATAAAACAGAATTAAGAGAACACTGAAAATGATTTTATAAAGTTTGTTTTACAATATTTGATTGCCTTTTAGGTGACCTAAATTTTCTTTAATTCACCAAATGGTTCTTTAGCCTCTAGGGGAAAAAAAATGTTAAAGCCATGAGCGGCAACCAATTTGAATGGATCACTTTATTATGCAAAATAAGAGCTAAAAATTGAAGTTGTATACCTTGGGAAGGGATCATGGGATGTGTTGAATGAAACCTGAGAACCTCATGTAGTTCCCTGCAAATACCGTTTATAGGGTGTGAGGCTTTCTGAGAGGTTATCGTCACCTGCCTCTTCAATCTCAAAGGGTTTTCGTGGCTCTTCAAAAGGCTGAGGACCACTCACGGGTCTCATTTACTGCATTTCATGCCCATTCCCCTTTATATGGAGAAATACCACTACTGATGGCATTCCAAATAATGTGTTTGATGGCTGTCTGTTTTACTGGCCCCTGGAACATTATTTTCCTGCGCTCCCACCATTTGCATGAAGAAGTTACCGCAGCTTCCAAAGCAGGTCTGCTACAGCGTCCTGTCTGAATTCTTTCAACAACCTGGCGAGATTTACGCACATTTATTTTCGATTTACTGCTAGGTCCTCTGTATTATTTATGATTAGTTTGGTGTTACATTTTCATCTCAGAAAACTGCCAGAACGTCTCTGCAAGAGGACGATTTGATTCTGTTGCCTTTTGCCCAGCAAGCCTCCTCCCACTTGGATCGTGGTAATACCACCTACTGACGCTCTCCAACTTATTTCTCTCTCCCTTTAGGTGTGTATGCAACATTGACTGTTCTCAAACCAACTTCAACCCCCTCTGTGCTTCTGATGGGAAGTCTTATGATAATGCATGTCAAATCAAAGAAGCCTCATGTCAGAAACAGGAGAAAATTGAAGTCATGTCTCTGGGTCGCTGTCAAGGTACCGTGCGGAGCGAAATTTCAACTCAAACAATGTTTTTAGTCTCTGTTTGCAGAAATGAAAAGGTGAAGCTAGCTCCTTATTAGGTCGCTATTGCCGATCCGAAAGGCAGTTCTGATTCACAATGGATCGCGCAGCCAGCTGTAGAATTTGTGTTGATTGTAGGTGTTTGAGGGCCCATAAGCAAAAGTGCACGTCTTTTTCAGTATAATGGGACAGTACTGACACAATGCCATGAACACAGAAGACCACAGTCATTCTCCTGGCAAAAGCTAACGAGAAAGTCTGGTCAAGAATTTAAGAATTGATTAGAAACATTGGCGTTAAAAGTGAATCACTCCTTTTATAGCTTGATTCAGTAGAAATATATTACGTACCTCCTTAAAAGCCGAATATAGTCGAATTTTTTGTTTCATTATTCAGAGGAAATGGCTTAGGGAGCTTGAACTTGTGTTTCTTTTATTGAATGTATCTATCTCAGTTACAGTTCTGTCCCGAACTTCAGAAAGCCGACTCTATTCTGTTATTCCCACAAACATACGTGTGCATTGACAGTCTGCCTCCATACAGAGTGCTCTAGAACATATCTGAGGTTCTGTTATTGCTGGAGGTGGTGAGGGAAACAATAGACCTCACTCTCAATGAAGAGATAAAGATACTGTTGGAAATGTAACTTTGATAGCTACGTGGGAAATGGTTAACTGGCTCTTATTGTTAATTTCTCAATAGATAACACAACCACAACCACTAAATCTGAAGATGGGCATTATGCAAGAACAGATTATGCAGGTTCGTAAACTTTTCTCCTTGTAAAATGAGAGCCCTTGTGTGAGAGTCTTCCACTGTCTACCGTTTGTCTTAACCTGAGCGCGAAGTCCCCTACCGTCTTAGTGCAAGCTTTAAACGGGCAGGAAGCCTTTCCATTGCAGCAAATAAGACGCACTTTTCACTTGCCAGAGTTAAAGCAACTGTCAAAGATGTCAGTAAGATAGAGTTAAGTTGTTTTGACAGTGCCAATGGTACAAATGACAAAACATTTATCAAATTAATGGGCATCCCTGGAAATGAATGCAAGGTTTGGCAGGATATTGTAATAGAGGCAAAGACTCTTGTTTGAATTTTTTTTAAAGTCAACAGTTGAAAGCTTGCTGGTCTCTGAGAAGAAAGACACCTCCAAGCACTGACGCGAGTCACTTCTCTCTACACGCAGAACTAAAATGGGTCCATAATTTATTTTTTTTAAAATAACTAGCACGTTTCATTTATTTAGATGCCAAAATGCAGTTTCTCAGACCTGCAAAGTTATAATCAACTTTATGTGAAAACATAAATCTTATTTAGTAACTATGGAATTTATTTTGAGTAATAAAAATGCTACCTAATTTACTTCTCCTGCAGTGAGAAATGACTGTGGGAGATATAATTGGCATTTTAGCAGATGCCTGTAATTTATGGGAATTTAAGGTAAAGTAATGAGAATAAAACTTTGGAGCTTTGTAAAAGTATTCAAGGAATACTTATTTACTCGTTTGTTTGTTTGTTTGTTTATGCTGTTTTGAGGCGGGATCTCTCTATGTGGTTCTTGCTGTTCTGGAACTCACAGAGAACCGCCTGCTTCTGCCTCCTGCATGCTGGGATTAAAGGTGTGCACCACCGTGCCCAGCTTCAAGTGATTTTTATACAGAAGCGTTTGTTTAGCTACTGAACTTTTGAAACCAATGTTATAACTAATATTCAGACTAAAACAATTGCTTCTTGTCCTTCAAAATATGCACCAGCGTTCATTCTTGTATTTTTATTTTTCCATTTCATTTCATGATAACTGACATTATAACATAAACAAATACCTGGTGATAGTTTGATCACTTGCTCATATCAGAATGTAAATGTAAGGGTTTTTAAGTTTTGCATATTTTTACCTTAATGTTTTCAACATCTAGAGACGACTGCATATTCTAAGCCTGAGACGATCAGTTATGCAATGGATACATTGGTTCTATTATATATGTACAGCATAACCATTCCCAAAGCACCACTAGAGATAGTAATAGATGCTCCTTGCAAAGGAGATGCTAATATTCAGTATGTTTAGGGAGTGTTAGGATAAACAATTGACCTTCTCCCGGCACTCCTCTCTGCTCTTGCTTCCGTTATACAATCTTTATAAATATACATGTTTTATGTAAAATCATCTCTCAGAGAATAGGTTCTGGGATTCGTTCCAGCCCTTTACAAATATCAAAACCTGAGGGTACTGCAGCCTCTTATATAAAGTGGAGTGGTGTTTACATATTACCTATGCACCTCTTTCCTATGCCTTAAAAAATCTCTAGATAACTTATAATACTTAATACAATGCAAAATCTATGAAAACAGTGGTCATATTGCATTGCTTAAGGAATGATGGTTTTTTTTTTAATTCTCTGTTCATATTCTAGAAGACACAACTACCTTACGGATATTTTTGGTCCAGAGTTAGTTGAATCTGTGAATATAGAGTTCATGGATATGGAGGGCCATTTTATTTTACTTTTTAGTTGTAATTTCTAAAGTGTGACGTTTCACACAAATGTAGGTAATATGATACCATGAATCCTCGTGTAATTGCCTTTATCCACCAGTGACGTCAAGTCATGGGGACCTCCCAGTTCTCATTCCCTCCTTCCGTAATAGATGCAAGAAAATGCCAGAAATCGCAACTTAATTCATAATTTAGCACACATGTAAAAATTTCTTTTTTAAATAAACACAGTATATAGCCATCTTTTTAAATACATATGATCTCTTATAGTTTACAGCATTCATCAAAATTCTTGAAAAATCGCACATTTTGTACAGCATTTATCAGGACAAGTGTTCCCAAAAGTACACCATCCAGATATGTTGATCCATAGACACTAACTAAAAGTAATAAAATATGATAGTGAAAATTAGTATCTGAGAGTATATATGCTCTCAGATTTAAATAAATCCAAAAATGAATATTATATGTATTGAAAACAGCTATCTTATGATATTATCAGCTACTTGACCTTGGAATAACTTTATACCACCTGGGAAAACTCGTTCATTTGAAAAAGCTCTTCAAAAATGATGTCTCTTAAGACTGTCTTCTTCCTTGAATCGTCCACCATTGGTCAGATGAGAAATCAAGTCTTTCCCTGAGGATTCTCATCCTCAGCAAGGATCCCTTGAGGTTTGCTGGCATCCTGTGCAAAGTCTATGACTGTCCACGGCTGTACCAGCAAATACTAGTGTAGAGCTTGCCAGCCTCGTCATCACTCAGGTTGCGCGTAACAATTCAACTTCAAGGAAGGCGGAGGGTTGAATTTCTACCCCCAATATATGCATATTTGACTTCAGTTAACCAATGATGCTACCACTATTTTAGTTCATTTTGGTTTTTTATTTTCAATAATATATTTTACCCTCTCTCTGCTTTGGAAGTGTTCATACATTTAAGCACTGTATTTTGAACGTACTGTTCACCTTTACCCGCCCTCCCCCACCTCTCCCAGCAACCTCTGCCCCATATCCTCTCCACTTCGCATCCTCCGTTTGTTCTTCTTCCTAATAACCCTTGAGTCCAGCTGTTGATGGCGGCTGAGGAAGGAAGAGTAAGCAGCTCTCCTTGGGAACAAGGCCTGGGTTTCCTGTGCCCCAACAGTGGCCCCACACCTCAGCACACGTGTTTTGCACAAACTGTTTCCATCTTAACGTCATCTCTTCAGTGGACACGGGAAGGAAAGAGAACATTTCCAAGCAAAACTGATCTGGTCAGACAGTGTGCTCCAGATTTTTCTGGTTTGACAACAGATCAACCTGCTAAATCTCAAAGAAAATCTTATGCGATAAAACGTGTGATGTTTGAGGGGCAGCAAGATGATTGGGCAAAGGCCTTTGCTGCCAAGTCTAATGAGTGTGATCCCCAGGACCCGTCAGGGGGAGGAATGAACATAATCCTGCATAGTTCCCTTGAACTCCAATCTGTGCACACATGTGCAGGCGCAGAAATACAGATGTGCACACAAAAGAAAGAAAGATGCAAACATTTTAAAGGTTATGATTCAACATACACGCTTGTTCAAATCCAAATAAGAGATAGCAACAAAAATGTCAATGGTAGCTAGTAATCCACAGTTAACTGTGGACCTAATACTGTAAGCCCTTCTAGAACTTACTTCAGCTACAGATGATATTCATGCACAGTCTTCTTGAGATGCAGTGTATTAGAAATTATTTCAATAAATGTGTTTCTCAACTTTCCCACGCTTCCGGCAGGATTTTTGTGTTCCCAAGTTTTGGCACACAGACTTTGGAAAACGTGAAAGCCTCCCGGGGAGAATCCGTGTGCTATTGTCCTGATAATTTCTATTTCACATGTTCTAAACTCTCCAGAGAGAGAAAACAGGAACTGCGTGACTCACGTGCCTAGAAGTTTGCTCTGTGCTCACACTTCATTTGATGTCACAGCAACTTCCCTTGTTGAACAAATGTCCACGGGCTCTCCCACCAGAAGGAAGCAGCAATTGTCACCCAGTCACTTTTCCAGATGTGACATTAGTACTGTAAGCTACGAGGTCCTCGCCAACCCCTCTCATTCTGAGCCCAATTTAAGAGCAGTTAATACACGAACGCTCGTTTTTTACTACAGAAGTGGCTATCTTCTTACAAGAAAGCCTAACGCTCAAAATAAATTTGTTAAACCTTCTCTGTAATAACATCTAAAACAAAGACTTCTGCCAAGACCAACGGAAACTGAATTACCATTTTGGATTTAAAACAAAAAAAAAAAAAGAATGAAGAGAATATTATCTAAAGCTAAGCTAGCAATGTGCAGGAGGCTAGAACGTGTCTACTGTGCACAAAGACATGAATCTATGCTCCTCAGAGGCACAAAAGGGTAGTCAGCAGGAAGCTGAACACATTTCCAGTGTATACCAGGCAGACTCTCTCTCTGTTTGGGTTGTCTGTGGTCACCTTCCCGTCTTCTCTCTTTAATGAGACCACATGCATTTCTGAGTCTTTAATCTAAGGCTTTGCATCTTTGTCTTCCAGGCCTAGTGGCGAGTCCCTGCCCTGGAAGTCAGCTCATATCATTCTTCCCCATCAGCCCATGTCTTAAGCTTAGATTCAGGTCTGTCTTTTTACTGTAGAGGCAGAGACGAACATTTTCTATAGCACAAGCCTAGGGCTTCCTGGCCTTTCCAGATGCTGATATCAAACTTCCCTAGTGAACTTTTAAGACGGTGCAATGTGTGTATGCGTGTATGGATATATTTGTCCTCACCAAGTTGTGCTCTGAAAGGGATGTAAATTTTGAAAGCCGTACTCCCCCACATCTGATGTATATCAATATCTGTGTCTCCTAATGGATTCCTCTCCAGCGAAGAGTCTGGAAAAACATCAGAAAACATGGCTGCACATTTTTTTCCAGTGTACTTAATTTTATAGCTTGTTAGATCTTCAAAGAGACATAAATTTCAACTACTTTACTTTTTATAATCGAGAAAATAAAACGTATTTTCTTTTATGGCATCCTATGCCAGTTTCCAAAAAGGATTTGCAGTGTTTTCATAATTAAACTACAGTCAATGAGAGTGTTTAAACAGAGATTGAAAACATAAAAAGCAGAAACGTTAGGGGAAAGAAATATACTTGAAGCATGGCTACTATAGTTACTATAGAGCTTCCTTGCAGCCTATATAAGAAAGGAATTATGATTGAGACTGTTTATTCCAGAAATGGTCCCGAAGTCCCTCTCTGTAGCAATGCTGTCCAAGGCTCCA